GCACCCTCAGCACTGACCCTCCGACAGTGCGGCGCTCCCTCAGTACTGACCCTCCGAAGCTCCCTCAGCACTGACCCTCCGACAGTGCGGCGCTCCCTCAGTACTGACCCTCCGAAGCTCCCTCAGCACTGACCCTCCGACAGTGCGGCACTGTCATCCTGCACTTGCAGCATTAGTTCAGATTATGTGCTGAAGACTCTGGTGTATGGTTTGAACTCATGACTCTGCGTCAGGAACAAGGGCGTTATGCCATCAAACTGTGGCTGGGAGTCACATGGACTGGACAGCATGGATAGGGGAATCCAGATGGACATCAGTTGTGATTTGATCTATTGTTGTGACATATACCTTGGTAGAGTGAAGAGTTGTGTTTTGCATGCAGTACAGGCAGATTCTACCGTATAAAATGCGTAAGGATAATAGAACAGAGCGAAGAATTCAACATTATTGGCTGCAGAGAAAGTGCACAGAGATTTGAGAGGTCAATTAAGAAGTCTAATAACAGCAGGAATGAAGCTGTTCTTGACTCCTGGTTGTGTGAAATTGTGACTGCAATCAGTCCTGCGGCTGAGACTGTTTAAGTGTTGTTTTATTATGTGTTCCAGCTACTGGCTGTCACCTTGGAGAGAGTAGGCTCTGAGATGAGCGAGCAGTGCTCTGTGCTGGAACAGCTACACCAAGCTGGGGAGTGGATTAGCCCCCTGGCCCGACACTGTCTGGCCAGTTTACAGAGAAGGCTGGAGCTGCTGCAAGCTGCAAACTCCACAGTGAACCAGTCGCTGATGGCCAGAGTCAGACAGATCACCCAGTATCATGTAAGGCTCAGTCAGCTGTGCTCTCATCCCTTTGTATTGCTCACATGCTAATTTTGACTCTGTTAAAGTCCTGTACTTTGGCCTTTTTTTCTCCCCTTTTAATCAGGTCACTCCCCCATAAACAATCCAAGGTTTCTTACTGTTTTTAAAGGTTCATCAGTTATTTTATTTTTAAACAATAGCAGATGATGATGAAGGCACTGTGAGGGAGCTAGATTAACTTCAGAAGAGAAACGGTCAGTAACACAGGGCGCTAGGGGAGGAGATGGGTCACTGAGTGACAGTGTGAGGGAGAGGGATTAACATCACGAGAGATACA